CAGGCAGAGCTCTGTGAGTTCAAGGCCAGCCTGGTCTACAAGAGCTAGTTCCAGGACAGGCTCCAAACCCAAAGAGAAACCTTGTCTCGAAAAACCACACACACACACACACACACACCAAAAGAAAAAGAAAAAAAGAAAGAAAAAAAGAAAGAACGAATGAAAGAAAGAAAGAAAGAAAGAAAGAAAGCAAGCTTCTGATCACATTTTCCGTGTTATGCCACAGAGGGCGTTTCCTTTCCTCCTAGGGGATCATCTTCCCCAAGCCAACCTCTACCTTTATGCTTGTGATGGCTCTCTCTCCTGCCCAGCTGCCTTCACTCCAGGCAGTCAACTTGCTTGCTCCCTTTACATGGCACTGTGCTCCACACTCCAGCACAGCACTCTACCAAGGTAACCACCTCATCTCTGCTTCCCACTAGTACACACTGAGGCACAGTTAAAGGGCACCCAGGTCAAAGGGACTGGCTGCTGTTTCTTCATATACCACCTTTCCCTCTCTGAAAACTTGTCCTATGAGGAAAATCACTCTTCCCTAATAATACAAAAGAGGACAGTTTCTTAACATCGGAGGATTCCCTAACTAATCAGCTACTTCTTTTATAAAATTCAAACTAGACCAGTTATTTTTTTTTATCTGTGGAACATTCAAAAAGCAAATAATCTTCCCAAAATACAAGTCATAGTAAAAGCTCTCTGAACATGGAACAACTCACAGTCAAAGTTCCAGAAGCCACAGGTGATGCCAAACACTTGCTAATGGACTGGAAGGTAGCAGCGGGAACACCCGCTAATGTGTCCACAATCACGTTTCCACTCACAGTGCCTAAAGAGGAGGATGTAGATGAAGCCAGAGGAGAAACACTGAGCTCCATTTCCAAGCCCTCTGCACCCTCCTCACCTGTTGGGGTGCTTGTTCCAGTGACTGATGTCTTAATGGTTCCTGCCTATTGAAAATAGAAATTCAGGTTAACTTCAGGTCATTAACTTCAGGTCAAGCCTTATGCTGCACAAACTCTCCAAAAGCCATTACCATCGGTCAATGCAAATTCCTGAGCTTCAGACTCTAGCCTTGTCCTCAGCACCTGGGTTATTACAAGGTTGCCTTCCCCTTCCCATGCTGCCCCTCACCCCATGCACTACCTCCAGACTGTGCCCACCACCACCACATTAACCACATGCAAGACTCTGTGCTGGCTGCTTCCATCCTTCTCATGAATGCCTTCCTGTCATTCAGGCTTCAACTTTCAAATGCCACCTCTTCAGTAAGAATCTTCTTGCCGGGCTGGAGAGATGGCTCGGTGGTTAAGAGCACTGCCTGCTCTTCCAAAGGTCCGAGTTCAATTCCCAGCAACCACTTGATGGTTCACAACCACCTGAAATGAGATCTGGTGCCCTCTTCTGGCCTGCAGGCATGCAGACCACTGTATACTTAATAAATTAATTAAATAAATACCTTTTAAAAATCCATTTAAAAAAATCTTCTTGGGGGGGCTGGAGAGATGGCTCAGAGGTTAAGAGCATTGCCTGCTCTTCCAAAGGTCCTGAGTTCAATTCCCAGCAACCACATGGTGGCTCACAACCATCTGTAATGGGGTCTGGTGCCCTCTTCTGGCCTGCAGGCAAACACACAGACAGAATATTGTATATGTAATAAATAAATAAATGTTAAAAAAAATTAAAAAAAAAATCTTCTTGGGCTGGAGAGATAGTTCAGAGGTTAAGAGCATTGCCTGTTCTTCCAAAGGTCCCGAGTTCAATTCCCAGCAGCCACATGGTGGCTCACAACCATCTGTAATGAGGTCTGGTGCCCTCTTCTGGCCTTCAGGCGTACACACAGACAGAACATTGTATACATAATAAATAAATAAATATTTAAAAAAAATCTTCTTGCCAGTTAACCACCGTCTAGGCTCTTCCTGTGGTCATTACTCTATTCTACATAGGAACGTGAACTTCAGTGGACAAGAAATACTGCTTATTAGTCTTCCTGTCAATGTTCCCACACCATACAGGCTTAGTAAATGTATCATCTCAGTGAAGAAAGAATGATCCCCAACCACATTAAAAACAAAAACAAAACAAAACAAAACCCCACCACAGTTCAATGTAATGATTCAGAGTCTGAGAAGATCTTGGTAAGATGCTTGCTTTGCACGTATGAAAATCTAAGTTTGACTCCTAGCACCCATATAAAAACCCAGAAGTAGTGTGTATGCTTATAATCCTTGTACTGGTAAAGTGTACACAAGGATCCCTGTGGTACAACAGACAGCCTACTTAGCCAACTCTGCAAGCCCTGAGTGAAGGATCATCTCAAAAAATAAAGTGGATGGCTCCTGAGAAAACCACCCAAACCATCACTCTTGTGCACTTGCACATATCACACAAACACTTTTACACCTGGCTGATAGCCTCAAATGTTATCCATTAGCACAGAGTCTGATCTCTTCAATGTGGTTTCAATGTCTGTGTAATAAGCATCACAGAAAATGAACTAAAGTATAGATGTCAATGAGTATGTCCTTCAGGGTCATAACTCTGAATTTCCTTTGGATATTTGTGTACTTACGGCCTGAAAACATGAGTGGGCACAGGTGGGGCATCTTTTTTGCTACACTTGCAATGTACACTTGCAATGAATGAAGGGAGCAAGCCCATCGGTGTTATTCTACAGAATCCAGCATCTTATTTTTGAGTCACAGTTTTACTGCTCAGGCTGGACTTATACTCAAGATCTTCCTGTTTTGATCCTCCTTAAGCTTGGATTAAAAGTATATGCAACTACACCCAACTTTAGAACCCAGGTTCTCCTTAGTACCAAAGAGTGGCTTTACCCTCCCAACCCAGTGAGGCTCGTTCACGAGCCTTGGAGGATGGCACAGTCAATAAAAACACAGGCTCCCCCAGGGAGCACCGTGTGTTCTCTCAGGGGGTGGTCTAGAGACTGTGGGCTTAGAGGCTCTCACCAGTACTGCAGCACTTCCCACAGTTGTCATTGTTGGTTGCCCCTTTGACTGTGTCTGCACAGGCTGGGGCTGGGCCTGGACCTTGGACTGCACAGGCTGGGTCCTGCTAGTGGCTGGCTGCCTGTTGCCTGGGGCTGTGGCAGTGGTGGTGGTGGCTGCTGTGGAGGTGGTGGGGGTTGCTGCTGCTGCTGCCGCTGCTGTTGCTGCTGCTGTTGCTGCGGAGGGGGTGGCTGCGTCACAGGTGGCTGCTGTGCCTTCTGCAGCCAAAGCCTAGATGGGTCAGACAGAAAGAGAAGCTGCTAAAGGAGCTGGACCCAGCCCTGGATGACAGCATGTCACAGCAGCAAGTTTCTGAGAGGACCCAAAGTCCAGGGCACCATACCTTTTTCTCTTTTGCAATTCGCTCTGCACGGAGAGATGCAACTTGAATAGGAGGCAGTGCTTTGTCATAGTTGATTCCACTGAAAGTTAAAAAGTTCTCTTATCTACAGTTTCAGTTACATATATCAGCCATCATCAAAAATATTACTTGGAAAATTCTAGAAACAATTCATTAGTAGGTTGTCCTTTGTTTTTTAAACAGATTTATTTTTTTTTTAACTATGTGTGGGTATCTGAGCTTGTGCACATGAATACAGGTGTCTATGGAGGCCAGAAGATTCCAGGGAGCTGAAGTAACAGGTGGTTGTGAACCACCTGACATGGGGGCTAGAAACCAAACTCTTAGCTGCTGAGTCCTATCTCTAGTCTCACAAGTCACTGGTTTGAAACTGGTTTGTCCTGAATAGTTTGATGAAAACAGGCACTGTCCCATTCATTCCAGCTCAGGACGGAATGAGCTGTGTTTTGGTCCAGGGTGTCCATACTGTATACACTACTTATATACACTACTCATTCTGTCATAGTCTCAGCTATCAGACTGACTATATTTCAGGCTTGTGTTAAACAGCGGTGAGTGCCTGCCTACCAGGCAGCCCTCAAGGTCCCCTGTAAGGGATCCCGGCACCTTCAGCTGGTGCTCCAGGGTCTCCTGTGCTCTCTTCGACCCCGCGCTGCCTGCCACGTTCTTCCTTTTGTCCTCAGATCATTGGGCGACCAGGCAGCCCTGTTTAGGTGCTGAGGAGTTCCATCTGGACGGGTGAGTGTGTGCTATCCAGGGGCAGAGTGTTTCGGAAGGAGCAAAAACCCCCTCCCCCAGCTCCTTCTGCAAGGCTGTCTTTCTTACACACGACCCCCCCCCCCAAGCCTGCGTTTTCTGCAAGGTCCTCTGCTTAGGAACAGTTTTCTGCTCCTACACTAAGGCTACACACCCAGAGCGGTGAGTACCTGCCTATCGGGCAGGCCTCAAGGACCCACAAAGGGAGCACGTGCACCTTCAGCTTGTGCGGCAGGGTCTCCTGTGTTCTGTTCGTCCCCGCCCTGCCCCCCAAGTTCCAACTTTTTTTCCGCGGGTCATTGGACTACCAGGTGTCCATGTTTTGGTGCTGAGGAGTTCCATCTGGACAGGACGGTTCCTGCTTCTACACTGAAGAGATACACCCAGAGAGTCAGTCACAGCAAAGACTGGACCAAGACACCAGGCCCCTCCTGGCTCCATTTGAAGGAAGAGATGGGAAGGCACCAATGCAAGAATTCCTCCAACAACCTGAAAGGCAACATGACATCACCAGAATCCAGGGATCCCGAAATAAGAAGAATTGTACACCCTACTCCAGAAGAATTAGAAGAAATCGACTCAAAAGTGAATTATATGAAATAATAGAAGACCTTAAACAGGAGGTGAAAAACTGCCATAACCAATTAGAGATTACAAACAAAAAGGTAGAGGAAATGAATAAATCGCTCAAAGATACCCAAGAAAATCAAGAGAAACAAGAAAAAGCAATCAAACAGGTAAGGGAAG